CAAAGGCATGGGAATCCTGAGTACAAGTTTCAGACTGCAGATCCCAATATTTTTCCATATTTGCTAGTCAACATTGGATCTGGTGTTAGCATTATGAAGGTTATTTTTACTGGATTCACAATTATTCTTTTTAACCATATCCAGAATAATATCAGCATAATATTATAAATAAACCTTTTGGCACACCTTATATTGTAGCATGCAGCATTTCCATTCAAGATGATTTTATGATTTTATTGAGACTGCCTGTGAGCTTCGATATGGATATATGTCTTTTAGAAAATCTCCTTGAAATGTCAGGTATATTTGTCTCTTGGGGTCTGTATACAAGGAAGGAATTGCATACGAAAGAAACTAATATGGTAGATATATGCCAAGAATCTATTATATATAATAATAATAATTCTCACTGTCCATATGTCTGTCTGCCTGTCAAATCTTATAAAATTTGAATATTGAATGAAGATCTGAAACTCAGTATACATGAAGAGAGCCATTAGTTAGTGACTAGAAAATTGAAAAAAGTAGCATTTCTGGGTATCGAAATTCTTTGAAGACTGTTCTGTGATTATGTTCTGAATGGTAACTCAAGAATTAAAGAGAGTAAAGTATAAAAATGCCTGTCTTTACCAATATCTGAATACTAGCACTTTTATTTGTAGAAGGAAAGCATAGAACCTATCATACATGTAGTAATATCAACTAGACCCACTGTCAAAGTGTACCCAAACATATATTCTATCTTTCTGAGGGACTTAGCTAGAAACATCAAAGTATGTATTCAGAGATTTGCAAGTCATTATTATTACCTTTTGGGAACACCTGGACTTTGGTTTAATGATGTTTTTGGAATGCCCTTGCATCATGTTTAACATGTGAAGGATAACTTTATAAGTATCTTTCTCCATGCATAATTTTGTTTGCCATTCTCATTCTAGGTTGAATCAGAGGATTCATATGATAGGATTGGAGGCACGGCAACAGGTGGAGGAACTTTCTGGGGATTGGGGTCATTATTAACAAAAGCCAAGGTATGAATCATGGAGAATACCTAGAGTTTAATATGACTTGATGCTTAAATATTCCTCTGAGTTTCTGCTAGAGATTGTTTAAGGTGTTCTTTTGTATACAGGCAAATGCGTATATGCCTGTAGGCACTGCAGCTCACAGCTGTCTAATATTTTCTGTCTTGCTGTCAAAACAGCTGTAATTGCTCACACTTCAGAACTAGATTACAATTATAAAGATGGGTGCCTCTTGGGTGGTAGAAGTTCACCAAAGCTTCAAAGGTGCTTGCTGCCTCCATCATAAGTACTCATTGCCATGATGATGGAGGCAGCAGACACCTCTGTTATGTTGATAAACTTCTACTAGACTACACAGCTCTACAATCCAGAAGACAGCTGTCTTCATACCTGCTGCCATGAGTACCTGAAAATTCACTTAGATTTCCGTTATATTAATTACAAAATTAGATTCACAAACCAGTATTTATGTACCTCTTAAGGTATACATTTCCTGCCATATATTATTATATAGGTGAATGTGATATCTGTTTTGCTGCTGCTGCTGCTATTAGCATGTATATGATATGTAACAGAAAAGTGAGATATTTACATTTTTAAATATATAACAAGTTTGTCACTCTTTTTGATTTTGTGTTACGTTCATATACTTAATTTATGATTACTTAACCAGACTTCACCATACAGCCTGTGCTTGTTAATTTTAATTAACCAGGGCAGGATTTTTTCACTCAGAATTCAATTAATTTAGTATTTCTGTACCAACAGAATCACTGGCTGTTTAAAGTTTTCAAGTAGTTGTGTAGTACATACTTCCATTTTTCTAAAATATTTGCGTGGTACAGATAATTTGATGTGTTCTATTTGAATCTGTATCAGTGATTGGTAATAGTATTTTCATAAATAGGATTAATCATATAAAAATAATATTAAGTAAGATTTTTCTTGAGTTTAATAAATTCAAATTCTTTATGCCACACAGTATATAGTTGGCATAAAATGTTTAATATAACTGAATGTACAATTGTAGTGTGAAACTTTTAGTTTGATGTTATGGAAACAGTGTAGCATAAAACAGAATAATTAATATGTCATATTAAAGAGTATGATTCATATTACTTCCCCACAACCAGCTTTAGGTCCTCAGGTTAGGATTACCTGTAGCAAATATATTAAGTATTGGCATATCAGCTGCTTTGGAACTTGCGCCAGGTTTGGATATATTTTCAAATGTGTTCATTGCTATATTTAAATTAGCGTCATTATGGTTATGCTGTTGAAAGGAATTCTGTTTTTGCTACTACAATTAAATATCAGAATTTTGCCAATCACCCAGTAAAGTCATGCATTGTAGATGAGAGAGTTTTCCCTTACAAATTGATGTATAAAAGTATTTTGTGTTTTTTTCAGGGATTTGATGAGTTACTGGAATTGGCAGAAAAGGGTGATCATCGCAATGTGGATATGTTAGTGCGAGACATATATGGTGGTGATTACAAAATGCTGGGACTCCCTGGCGATTTGATTGCATCTTCATTTGGAAAAGCTATGAACTCCCACAAGGATCACGATTTTAATGCAGGTAAGTTAGTCTGCAGTTGGCAGGCATCAGAGAACCACAGTTATGTAGGACACTTTTCAGTATGTTAACCATCTTTTTAGTAGCAGAACTTGCAGATCCAACACTGATGTGACAAAGTTCACTCATCGAACCTGATTGTCATTACTAAGTTCATGTAAACTCTTACTCCCTATAGTTGGTTTGAAAATATGCTCCTGGCCAAATTTTGCATTGAAATCTCTTAGTAGAATTTTCATGAGGTATCTACTAAACTGATCAAATACCCACTCTAATTCTCTATAACAACTATCCTCACCTAATCATCCTTATGTTTAGTTGGTGCATGCACATTTATGATAATATCACACCATCGACCATGAAGGATTAAATGTGACAGCCTGTCATTAACAAAATCTACTATTTTAACTGCTTGCTGAAAATCTTTTTTCATTAAAATACCCATTCCCAGTCAATGGTCCTTATTTCCTTTTCCATGGCATAATATGTAGTTCCACTTTGTGAGTGTTTCTTCATTAGGCAGTCTAACCTCCTGAATTCCTGCAGTATCCAGACTATGCCAGGTGATTCAAAAAGGACTTTACAACTTTGAAAATGTATAGAAATTTAATCAGAAAGCTTACAGAATCGGTTGAAGTGCCATTTTGCAGCAAAACAAATTAAGTTTGACTCACGTTGTGCTGTAGTACCGAATTCCGTCACCACGAGTGCAAGCGGCAGTGCATTTGAAAATGGCTACTTTCACAGGTGCGGAGCGCGCTCGCTGTGTGCTGTGGTTTGAAGAAACGAAATCTGCGACAATGGTTCAACGAAATTTTCGCACCCAGTATGGCAAGGATCCTCCCAGTAGACCTGCAATTTACTCTTGGCACAAGAATTTTGTTGAGACTGGTTGTTCTGTTCGCCATGACAAATCTCCAGGTCACCCGCGTGTTTCTAGTGCTGTTGTGGAACACGTTCATGACAGCCCAAAGGTGAATGTGTTTTGTGCCCTTAGCAAAGTTAAAGTGTACGGCCCGTTCTTTTTCCATGAGAGAACCATCAATGGTATCGTGTATCTGGATATGCTCGAAAATTTTCTCATACCACAGTTAGACGAAGATGACCAAAAAGGACGCATTCACTTCCAGCAGGACGGCGCACCACCTCACTACCTCACAGAAGTCCGGGATTTCCTCAATAACCATTTCCCAGGTTGGTGGATTGGTCAAACAGGGCCGATAGCATGGCCACCTCGTTCTCCAGATTTCACACCTCTCAATTTTTTCTTATGGGGTTCCATTAGAATCGTGTGTTTGTTCCACCCTTACCTGACAATCTCACTGAGCTCAAAGTTCGAATCACCGCAGTTGCAGAAGTGCCCTGTACTTCCCTGCCTCCATAGCTATCTTATCCCATGCCCATGTTCTATATAAGCTCCTCACATTCCATGTTCCAATTCTCAAGTGCTTTGAATGTCACCTGGGTTATTATTGCGCACAATTCATCTAATTCCGAGGCTTTGTTGTTTTTGCAACATAAAACATTTTTATGATGAATGGTTGTTTGCCCCATGCCTAACCCCTAAGCTGGACGATCATCATTAATTGGCTGTCCATGACTGCTTATTCAGTATATTTGCAGCTAACCTGCACTACTGGAGGCTGTACCTCCGTCCACAACCTGAGGACACGCAATGCTGTGGTGACACGGACCCACATAACATGGTTTCAGTATTACGATAAAAAAAGATTTAACCTGCACTACTGGAGGCTGTACTTCCATCCACAACCTGAGGACACGCAATGCTGTGGTGACACGGACCCACATAACATGGTTTCAGTATTACGATAAAAAAAGATTCATTCATAGCACATCTTACTGGTTGTTGTTGTTGTTGCTGCTTTTTTCTCCTCCCCCACCCCTCCCCATTTTGCCTCATTCCATGTCCTGACACAAGTTGAACTTCATGGTGCAGAGTCCTTCTTGTCAAGCTTATAGTTGGTCAGGTAGTCAATTTTTCCACTTTTTATGCAACGAGGCACTTTTAAATAACACCAGAAAAGATCACAGCCACAAAATCTGCCATGGAGAAGATCTTTTTACAATCATAACTCCCATTTTAACATCGATTTATGTATTTATCCTTTCAGGATATATTCTCAGCAACAAGAATATATCATTCCTTGCTTGTGACCATCCCCCATTATGTTTTACTTTACAGGTACCAAGTTTTCAGAAGCAGACTTGGCTCGCAGTTTGTTGTTCACCATCAGCAATGATGTTGGCCAAGTTGCGAGTCTTTATGCTATGATGCATAAACTAAACAAGGTAAGCCAGCCTACTAATAGCCACACTTGTTAAAAGTGGAATTGAAAATAGAGAAATAACACACTTGGTGTCTTGCTGTAGCATATTTTTTTATTTACTGCAGTTTTAGTCTGAAATACTTTTAATTTGGTTCATAAGTGAATTAAATATACATGGTTATATATATGCCTACAACAGTAGTGACAGTCCTAAATATTTCATTTGTCTTGTGAGCATTTATTTGTCATACAGTGTGGAGTGAATTTGTCAGTATGACTAGTATGTTGTGAGCATGTGTCAAGACAATGAACGTGACTGTCTTCTGGGATGTTACACTGTGTAGTCTGATAGAGGTTTACCTACATGTCATGCTGCCTCCATCGTCAGGGTGATGAGGAACCCAGACTATATCCCACAAGACAGTTATCTTCATTCTCTCCACTGTGAGAACCTGAAATCTCACTGTGGGTTGAGAATGAGTCATCATTAAGGATGAAGTATGCACTTGGTAACTCATTTGATAGTGGATTTTTGTAGAATTTACTGCATAATTTTGTGTTCTGTATATGCCAAGGTGTATTTTGGTGGATATTTCCTGCGCAATCATCCTTTGAGTATGCATACAGTATCTTTTTCAATCAACTACTGGAGTAGAGGTCAAGTACAGGCCCTCTTCCTGAGGCATGAGGGCTACTTGGGGGCTATAGGAGCCTTCCTTAAGGGAGCAGAAGAGTGTGGTGAGTTCTGTACTAAAGTATGAATGAAATATACATTCTGCATTCCTGACATTAAGTGTCTCTGAAAATGTGCTTTGTTCCTACTGTCTTTGTTCATCAGTTTTTGACAAAAATAATTACTCATTTGTAATATCACAAAATTGATACATGAACCTAAAATTCTTCAAAATTATTTTCTATACTTTAGTGTAAGAGGAGTCTTGTTTTAGAGTTAAAATTCTGTCATGAAGAAGACGCTATAAACATCATTCGTCTGCATTTGAATGTCTACACTCAAAATCAGCTGTCACACTTTGTAGCATAGTTTTCCAGTCTTCTGATTCTGCTGCCCCTGGCTGCAACTGTACTTGTAATTTTTAACATAAGCTCCATTAACAGGAATTTTGTAGACAGTCTTCTGGCAGTTGCCCATTACCATTGTTAGTACTTCCTGTAGTTCTTCTTCTATGGCTATTCGGTCCTTGGCCTCCTCAATTCTCCTCTTCCATTCGGTCCTATCCTCCGCTGCCTTCTGTTAGGTCCGTCTGTCCGAGGCTTTGATTGAGGTTTCGAAACATCTTCCTTTTTACGGTGCAAGGTTGTTAGCCTTGCGACCAACCCCCAACCTGGAGGACCAGGGTACCTGTCTTAGTCTGACCTCTCGCCCTCGACCATTCTGGCTAGGGAGGCCCTACCAGTAGCTATGCTACTGCCAGCATTGCTCTTGGGATCACTGAGGTACTTAAGCCCCCCCACCACCACGACAAGGTGCAGGACTTCCTGTAGTGCCTGTTGTAATATAGATGTTGTCACAGCAATATTTTTACACTTTCTTCGTGAAGCACAGAAGCACTTTCTCTTCAAGATTTTAATTTTTACATCAGTTTATTTCTGTTATGGCTTAACTGTGCAATGTATATATATCTGAATACTGACTTCTGAACATAGTTTGTAGGAGACTTGGCTTCCTTTTTACATCAAAGATAATGAAGTTTTTGCGTGTTATAACAGTATTAAAGCTGTATAGAATATGTAGGTTGTAAAAGCAATGCAGTTCATTGTGACACATATGGCACATAAAAGATAGAGATATCCTGGTTTCTGTTATTGAAATTGTATTCAAATGAGCGGGCTTTTTACTTATCAAGTGTAATTATCTTAAGTAGCATATGTTAGGTTATAGAATCAGATGCATGAAGTAGCTACCAGCATAATCTAGTATGTGACAGAAAATAATCATTCCAGATATTCTGTACCAGCATTTTCATTGATGTCAGGCTTATAGTTGGTTTTGTTGTGTTACAGATGCAGATAAATATTCATGGTTAGAGAATTATGCTGGTAGCTCAGGCCTTCGTAGCCCCATTCCAACACAGGTTCTGTCAGCACAAGGTGTACCTGTAGATCAGCTGGAAATTGACCGTTGGGAATCTGCTGTCACATATTGCCCTCTTCTTCGTGATCCAGCCAATTATGTACCTGATACAGTGGATCTCACGCAAGACACTGAGGCCAGGTATGAGTAAAGATTTTATTTTTTTATTCACATTGTTGTTTTTGCTTTTAAGGCTGCAGAAAATACTAAAATTAGTATGGCATAAACATGTTATTTGAGGGCCATTAAAAATTAATGGCAACACTGGTGTAAAATTAGAAAATGTATTGTCCAAAGCTGACACTTTACACCCTTCAAGTTGGTCTCCTGCCTTACTACTGCTATAATATCTTTCCTCATCATGACTAATGTGCCTTGTGGGGTTGCATTCATTTTCCAGAAGTAGGTCTGGTGAGTATAGCAGATGTATCTCTATCACATGGATCATGGGTTAGAACTACCAACTTGACATTAAAGTTTGACTGATGCCCATCATTGGTCTGTAACTAACAGAGTCCTCACAGTCTTGTATCTAATCAGGTGCTGTGCCGAGCTCTTGGTTTTTTACACATTTCCTCCCCTACTCTGAAAGACATGCACCCATCTTGTCATGGTTCAGTGTGGCAGAGCATTTTGTCCACAGTCTCCATGCAGTCCTTGTGACACTGGCTTGCATTTTGCTTTCACACAACCTGGATTTTGATAAAGTAGTGCTTCTTTTACTTTCTTGACATGCTTTGAGGATGATTTTACATGATACGTTACTTCACACCACTGCTTGGTAGTTAATACTAGTCATGCACTTGTGAAAACAGACAGACACATGCACAGCATAGTTCAGTCTCTCACCCAAAAGCTGTTTTCATCTTAATATCAATGTGGAGGGCTGCAGTGCTGCCAGTAATTTTCAAATGACCGTTATAGTTAGGTATTTATAAAACATATTTATTTGTTCCCCTAATCACTTTGTTGAAGTGTGTATTGCTTATTACTAATTATCTAAGATGTGAACAAATTGTAATCATTACTTTCAGTAAATATTTAATTGAACTTGAACATGAAACTTTACTTGCAGAAATTTCCTTGCTGGTCTGTGAATCACAGAGGGATGCACCCTAAGACTTAATACAGTATATTTACTTTTTACTTAAAATTTAGAGACTGTAACCAGTATAAATATTTATATTCTGTATATAGTTTGGTATGTCCCGCGCCATAGCCGCACGGTCTGAGGCATCATGCTTTGGACCGGTGATACGGAATGTGCGCTGGTTCGAGTCTTGGGGAAAGAAATTTCCCATGATATTTTCGTCCAGTGTATGGGACTGGTGCCAACCCAGCATCGTGAGGAAATTGGGGAGCTACAATGGGTAGCGTAATCGGGTCATGGAAACTAGCAATGGCTGGGGGTTTGTTGTGCTGACCACACGTCACTCTATATCTGGTTGGATGATCGTTCACCTCTGCTTAGGCATGTGAACGTGAGGCCAGCAGTCAGCTAGTCGGCTTTGGCTCTCAGAGGGCTGTTACACCACGGATTATTATTATTATATAGTTTGGTATAATGAACTATTTTTGAGAACTATAATGAAATTTGGTTTAAGAATAAAAGACCTTTGTATAACTGCTATAAACATGCATATTTTCCTTATTAATATTGTCCTTGTGAATACAGTGTTAATAATTGTGTCTGAAATAAATAAATCAGGAAAACATTCGTTATTTCAGGGAATATTGGCTACATTGTTTTGAGGAATCTGTGGATAAATTTGTATCTCGAGCAATCTACAGCCAACCTCATAGTCTAACTGCCAAAGAGAGAGCATACAAGTTCAAGGAGAAATACATATCTAAGCTTTATTACCTCAAACATCAACCATGGTAAGTCTTAACTGTAACATAGAATTATAATTTCTAAGATGACAGAAACTTTACAGCAGTATGACATTTTTACATTTATACCTCACAGCAGTTCATTATTAGCCTATGTAGTTTCTTGCAGAAAGAAAGTAAGATTGTGGAACACTGTGCTGTCTGTGTGTTTGCTTATCTCCTCATTAAACATTTGAACCAACTGACAAAATTTTCATGAAATTTGGTATGAACATTATGCCGGTTGAGGCCAGCACTTTTTAATTTCTTAATGTTAGTAATAGATTGTGGCAGATATATATGACCTTCTATGGTGGGACTGATACTGGCTCCATTTAATACATCATTCTGAAATTGTCCATCTTCAAAAGATTTGCAATGTTTAAAGTAACATTTTGTTATGCTGTAAAATGACAGCATGATAGTTGCACAAATTCTTCATTTATCTTTCTGTTTGATGGTGATAACTAATGAATCACTGGATTTGAAATTTGGTATGGAGGTAGATTATAAATATACAAATTACCTCTGAATGAAATATAGTTTATAAATAAAGGAATTGCA